ATGGCTTTGTCATCTGCTGATAGATGTGGGACGTTGGCGTCCTTGTCTATTGATCTTATGAGCGTGTCTGACGTTAAGGTTTGTTTTGTTCCAGTTGAGTTAACAAAATCTGATAGGCCTGCTCGGCCTTACAGAGAGATTGTGTTTCATGCTTACCCAGATCACAGCAGTATCTGTGTGGTAAGACATATTAAGGAGTACCTTAGGAGAAGTCAGTCTCCTGTTAGGTCTAAGAAGTTTTTCTTATCTTTTAAGAATCAGAAACCTGTTGTTTCTGCAACTTTAGCCAGATGGTTGAAGTTGGTTATGGAGCTTTCTGGTATTGATACCAGTGTTTTTAAAGCTCATTCCCATCGTGGTGCCGCTGCGTCTGCAGCTTTGCGAAAGGGTTTGTCTCTGAATGAGTTGTTGCGTTTGGCAGACTGGGCCTCGGCCAGAACCTTCCAAACCTTTTATTTCCGACCAGAGATCGAGTCGGATTTAGGTAGGGCACTCATCTCTACCTTGAGTGCCTCAACCTTGCCCGAAAGGACTACAGTGTAGTAGTTCTGCCCTTTAATGTATCCGGCACTTCAGCTGTCAAAATGGGGGATCAGTCATCCTTCAGCAGCACCTGTATGACGGAGGTGAAAGACGTGACTCCAGGATGATCATTCATCTCTCCCCTTGGGATCTGGTGAGTCTCGTTTTTCTTATTGTTATACTACCCTCATCTCGCGGCTTTGAAGTCGCCATTGTATTTCGGAGGGTAGCGACGTATAATTGAGAGTTATCATACCTACCTGGTCAGATAACTACAGTTATACTAGCTACCCGAAGAAATACAATGTCCCACCCTTTCTCTGACCCGGCCCAGGCTCGATGAGGTTCCCCTTGCCTCGGCTTGGTTCCGGGAAAGAGGAGGTCACGTGGGTTAGTGCCCGGATGTTGTTTGTTTCTGTGAAGAACTGCCACCTTGCGATTTCTAGGGAAAACGCCATTGTATTTCTTCGGGTAGCTAGTATAACTGTAGTTATCTGACCAGGTAGGTATGATAACTCTCAATTCTGTCAGACAGGAATTTTGGTGGAACCCAAATGTTTTCTATAAGTGTGATGAGATATTTCAGTTTGATGTCCTCAAGGTGTGGTTCTCCTTTAACCTTTGCTATAAGGGTGAGTAAAGCTTGGGACTTTCATCAGAGTCAAATGATGAAATACGTGTAGAGTGCCTTTCCCAAGGGCACAGTATTGTGGCCTGCTAGGGATTCAAACCCAGAATTTTAGATTTTAAGACAACAACCCTAACCACAAGCCCATGTTGTGAACCCATGTTGTGTATCTATTTTCAGGCCGGCGCCAACATGATTGTGTCTGGGACAGCAGTTGTTAGGAGCGACAACCCGCGTGAGGTCATTGGCCAACTCCGAGGCAAGGTGGACGAGGCAATACAGAAGGCCAACCTGGAGAGATGATGACATCACACTCTAGGTGGGGAGGGGGGTGAACAGGAGAAAACTAAAGTAGACTTAACAGTTACTACTTTGGGCCATACCAATTTATTTGCTTGGCCCGCCTCGGACAGTTTAACTGAAATCAGAGCAATTGGTGGAAAACTTGCATCTGGCTAGCCTATAGCTACCTGTAGTGTGTAGACCAAATGACACTGCATTAAAAATGGCATTTACAATAAAACTGTAATGATGTGCAAAAATATATTTTACTGACTGTTGTAGAGAAAAAACACTGATTCCCATATTTTTAAGATATAGGTCACTTTTCTATATCTATTGTTGACACTCATCCCTCCCCAGTTGCTAGGTAATGGCATGGTCACATTCATTGTAGGCTGTCCTACAATTTTAATGTAGAAATTTCAAGCAGACTGCCCTCGGTTTGTCATCATTTGATGATCGCACAACGTGTGTGACTGTGCCCTAAGAGGGCAGTAAGAGTCAAGCAATGTGATCACATTCCTAGTAGACGGATATTTTTGACAGGATTTTCAACAACGCAATGACTCGCCCTCAACCATCAACAAGATCTAAAGCAGCGTTTTTTCAGTCGGATTCTATACATCCCATGATCCATGATTGTCCGCAAAATGCCCTCTGACAGTTTTCTGTTGTAAACCCATCGTAGAGTGAGTATGACAAACTCTTACCCTTTATAAGATGATGACTTAACCTAGCAAACATAATATAACTGTAAACCCTTTGTACGACACATATGTCGGCATTGTACTTAGTCAAGTTGTTTGTTTGTGCCTCCAGGCCAAGAACCAGGGCACAACATGTACAAACAATACATTACGTGAGAAATACGTGCTGCAAATGTTGACACTGCAATTATGGTGGCAGCCTACTGTAAATTACCATGTGTGCTCTGTGGCACCTGCTTAACTCTGATGTTCAAAACATGAGATGGATATCTTGTTTTCACTTCAAACTGTTGACAGTGGGAAGGTTACACTAGGAAAAGCCATGGCTCAACAAATCATACAATTCTCAGCAAATCAAAAGAGAGGACTTTTATATATTATGATTATACATTCTTAATGTATCTTATGGAATATTCAGCTATATTTTGAATTATGCATTGGTAAGTTTTCACTATCAAACTTTTCAAAGCAGTCAGCTTATGCACGCAATATAAGACAGGTAAAACATAGCCTGTTCTCTGTGTCATGATCGCTCATCAGTTGGAACCAGATTAATATCTCACCTTAACACTACATCATGGTGTAAGAAGTAATCTGAATAATTGAAACTTACGTATTACTTGAGGGACTAAGTCCTTCGGACATTTTCATTTGCGGCGTCAGAAAGAACGAGTCTTTTTTTTCAGTTTAGATATGCACTGCAAACAGTCTTAAAGGAGTCATACTATCATGTCTGCTCTGGGTTCAAGTCTTCGGTGTCATTGCTTTCCTTTCCGAAGGTACCGACACGTCTTTAACTCTTCAAAACTATCCCTCATGCCTCCCGACTCGCTTGGTTTGACGGAAAAGTCTCTCTTGACCAGCGGCGTCCCTTGCTGACTGAGGTATAGCGGCATCATCCTGGTGAATGTAGCTGTTCGCGAGTCCTCTTCGTCGTCTGATGAATCGCTGGCGTACACGTCGGCCGGCCGGATCCGCCGGCACTTCCAGCGGCTCGAGCCCGTGCTGCGCATGTAGGACGGCGGCGCCTGGCTTTTCCGGACGACTTTCGGCGACGTCGCATCAGTGTGATCGTCATTCTGTTCGGCGTCATCTGCACGTGAAGAGTCTTGAGGTTTGAGAGACGGTATGAGTCTGTGGGGAGGGGCTGTGTTGACTCTTCTGAGCAGACGCGGAGAGGACACAGCATCTAGTAACAGAGATGAGTTGGAATGTAAGAGGATGGCTCTTGGCTTCCCGCTGGCCGGGCGACTGGCCGATCCAGGCCGGCCCCGAGGACTGGCCGACATCGGTCTAACGTTGGCCGCGGAAGTCCACCCCTGCGTGCTGGGGGGAGGCGGAGGGTGGGCGCTTGCAGAGGCCGGCCTGTTTTCAGCAGCACGTGGGGAGGAGGATACCGGAGCATCTCGCGGAGATAGAGAAGGCGACACCTGGCGCGGAGAAGACGGGTTCGACCCTGCCTGAGAACGGGGTGACCCGAGAGGACCCGCCCGGCGAGGAGACGCGGAGGCCGGGCGAGGCGACGCCGGAGGGGTCGGTACAGGTGAACGATCATTTAGTCCTCTCGGGAAGGCAGGCGGGCTCGGTAAAGAGGCAGAGTCTGAGTAGGAACGTTTCCTAAGCGGTTCAATATGCTTGTTGACAGGTGGTAGTCGAAACATGTCCTCTTGGAGGGCTAGCTTTCGTGACAGCCGTTTGCTGACAGGTCCGTCTGACACCGTTCGCGTCAGGGGCTTGAGCCGTCGAGGGGTGGTGGGGGTCGATGACCCCGGGGTAGACCCACCGGATCTCGGCGACTGGTCTCCGCTTCCCGTCGGGGAGTCCTCCGGGGTTTCGTCTTCAAGTGTTCCCACCGCCCTGCTAACCAGGGGCGCCAGGCTCATCCGGTTGACGTGCTGTAAGGTCCGAAGGTCTTCCATACTCTGCGTTTTGTCGATCTCAAGAGACTGCAGCAGTTTCTGTTGGATGTGGTTAATGGCACGGATATTGCCCTCCTCAACTTTCTTCAGCGCCTTCTCCTTGGACTGAAGTAGGTTCTCTAGTGACCTGTTCCTCGCAGTCATCTCTCTGTTCTTCGTCTTGGTGACGTGGAGACCTTTCAGACTCAACGCGATGTCGTCGGCCATGTTCTTTTCACCGTTGCCGTTCTCTCTCTTGGCCTCTTCCATGGCGGCAAACACGAACCCACCACACGAGTTACGCGCCTGTTTCAGTATTTGCTCACGCTACCCCTCTGACCCCTCTAAGCGCCGGTACTCTCTCACCTGATATGGACCGCGCGGGTTGGGTTTACTCTATGAGAGCCGTCTGGGTACGGGTGGGGTACACACGCTTTCTCTCTGCGGCGATGGGTCCCTGCGACTAAACCGCCCGAGTATCAACAAGGTGTGGGGTTCGCACAAGTCGCAACAGTCACACACAGCTGTGCGGCGGTATAAAATCCCGTTCCAGGTAGCTAAGTGACCGACAAGTCAGACTGTGGAGTCATTCACGTCGCTGACAGGTGCGTTGACGTTTTTCCAAGCAAACTTGACGCTTCTTATGACACAAAAAAAGCGAACTGTCACACCGCGGCAGTAAATCAGCCTTAAGTTGTTAATGCGAAGTCGGGACCTCAGTGAGAAGAAAATTGGCTCAGAAAAACACTGTGTGTTCTTGACTTAAATCCGTGAATGGACGACGCGTTCTCAGCGATATCAGAGTGACAGGTTAAGGTGCTTTGCCGTGCCCCGTGTTTTCAGCACACGGACTGTCTTTGTTCGCAGCCGTAGTCTTTAGTTGGTTACGAAAACATTTAGTCTTTTATAGTGAAGAATCGGGAAACAAAGTGTCGAACGAGTACAGGTGGCTTTGTGCGACGTAAATGGGGCGTACTTACTCCAGTCGGAGATACGTGTAGTTCAGTCGGTAGGCCTCAGGCGAAGAATAAATATCCTTTCTCGTCAGAACGATTAGTAAGTCCTCGACCGGAATGTCGGTGTGAAGTGATGCCGTATATCAAGTTCCAAACCCAGCGTTCAAGTGCCCGTGACTTGTAACTCGGCAATGGAGGTCTGCATGCAATGCGTACATGCCAACTTGGGTTTTGAAGCGTCCTCTCTAGATCTGGAGAGCCCCTGGGTCATGGAAAGGACAACAGGTTGTATGCACGGACCACGGTAAATGCGGGACTTCAATGTAAACAAAGATGTGCTGGAGTCGATAATTATCCCGCACGAACACAAACTCGGTAAAAGGTTGTTCCTCAATCAGCTGACTGACACCATAAAATAACCTATTGCATAGTCACGACTCAGCCGAAAGCTGCTTTCATGATAGATGTCTGGTAGCTTCCCGGCATTCTTGTGTTTCGTCGTAACGGTTCCTAAGTCCTGTCAATTGGTTCTTAGCAGGCAATGTTACCTGCTCTGACGGCTCCTTTCACTAGGCTGTCCCGACCTCCATTTTCCCCTGCTCACACCTGGAAGAAAGGAAAAGCCCTCAGACTTGTCACCCCCGTGTCGTCTAACATCGGTCTGGTGCGCTCCGTTTTGTCGTACGGCTGACCCGACAATACCGGATACCTGACGGCTGAACACGCGGCGGCCACCTTTTGTGTCGCGCGGTAATCGAAGGCCGCGTTATTGATAACATCCATACAACACAGAAGGAACGGAGCTCAGCTGGAATCCCTCGTCACTCACATGCCTGGACGGCCTTTCTGATCAACACGGTTATCTAAATCACCGGTTGTTTTAGCAGTAAAAGCAGCTAGAAGGCTCAGTGTAACGGCCGCAAACTACACTTGAACCCGGGAAACGTGATGCAGCGTTGTACAACTCGAATCATCCCATGTTATTAAGTTAAATGCGCATGTTCCTAGGTAACTTAAGTCAACATTCCAATTGGCGATGACGACAACAATTGGTTTTGTTGATTCTAGATAGTTCCACGGGCCGTAATAACCAAAGGCCATCTTTTTCTCGCCCTGTTTGGCGGCTAGCTGTTGTCGCTACAAAAGTATTCCAAGAATAAGACTTGTTGAGGTACACCGCTGCATGGAAATATAGATATGTATTTAAAAATAGGGAGTCATCGCCATAAAAAACAAACCAACGAATGGCGCCTCCCAGTATTTGTTCTCTTGTTGACCACGCTGCAGAAAAGATCGTCGGGGTTACACTGTGTAACTGATAAATTAGCTCTTTAATCACGGCCATTTCAAAGCGACCCACTTCTGGACCCGCACTGTAATGAACTGCGCGGAATATGGACCTTGACATTCTTGGCTAAAATTTGTCTTTTCGTCTGACGCTGCGGTAAAGAAAACGCAGTAAAGAAGAAGAAGAAAGCCACAGAGATTGCATCATATGCACAGAATAACAAACAAAACGGACCAATTACAAAGTATGCACACCTTACTCTGGTTCACAAAAGAACAAGAAACAGGCGGGTAGCCATGATTGTGCGTTTGGTTTCTCAACCAAGAATCGAGCGATGTACGTATCTGTGACTTGGCGTCATCCAATATGGAAAGAGATAGCTCCTAAAGTATCTTTGGAGTAAAACAATCTTGAAGTAGAAACGATAATGTGTATTGTGTCTGTGTGTGTGTACGTGTGTAGGACGTCCATGGACGTAATTATGTAACCAGCAAATGGCGTGAAGCTGTGTTGAACATCAAAGGGCGCTACACTGGTTGATAAGTACAACTGCAGAAAGTACTCAGACGGCAACACCTTTACGTATTGATTTTAATGGCAAATATTTGCCCGTCAGTTGTCCTAACAGAGAAAAGAATGGACTAGATGTTTGGCTGTATGCCAAGCTTAGGACTTTCAGTGAGTTGGAAAGTTACTGCAAAGGGACCTGTCGTTTGGTGTCAAGTGAACCGTTTAAATTGCGTGTACTGACTCACGTTTAACACTGTTGTTGGGAGATTTCGAGTTTCGTACTTTAGACGCAGGGTATCACTAGCTGTAGGTTTACCTAGCAAACACTATCAAGAGACCCCGTACTTTAGTTCACCGATGATGGTGCCATGATGGGCGTACCTCGACGCGTGTGGCTAGCGTTATTTGTCTAAAACAACCCAGTACAGCACTGTACTTTCGAAGTGATAACACATAGCTGAGAAACCTATCGATACAGCTTGACTCAAATGTCACATGGAAAAATAGAGGCAATGTTATAGATATAGTACAACGCCGTTGCAGTTTGGAACCTCCGAAACAATTGCTAAGATAGTCAATCCAGCTGCTCATATTACGTATTACGTCATACTGAAGCAGCGACCTCTGGCAGAGATGATGAACGCATGCAGCTACACGTACACGACCACCTGATAATAACCACCACCTTCTGCAGCAAATGTCTGATAAAATGATGCTAACGGCTACTACTGGCGTCGTCTTGGGAACTGGGTGACTCTTTCCGCGACCGGCTTTCGCAGAGATAGAAAAATGACATCCCTATGACCTGTAAGAAATGATACATCATTCTGTAAATATTGACGTAACACACCTTTTCACTATAGGCTGCGACCACTGGGCGAACATGCAAAGATTTGGCAGATCGGTCCACGAATGTCATAGATAAAGAACAAGTTTGTTGTCTTTTAGATCATACGTTTACATCTTGTATCTTATTCAAGTGATATTGATGAGAAAATAATGATAAAACATATTTACAACAACTCCTCCAAATCCAGCAGTGGCAGTTGACGCGATTGGGAACTGATACTGGTCGTCAAGGAAGCCGCCAAGTGTCGGACCAATGAACTCCCTGGAAAAACCATAGAATGCAGTGAGTTGGCTAGCAAGGTAGTCTTGTAGTTAGAGTTGTTGACTCAGTATCTATACATCCTGGGTTCGAGTCCCTGACAGGCCTCAATGTTCGTGAATAATTATATCAGGTTTACAAATTCAGCAACCAGTGGGTTTCTGCCACGGATTTTACTTCGGTTGTTTAATAAAGGCCCTTCTTATACAGGCCCCCATGTTGTGCCATTGTGGCAGCCGCTTAATAAAAACCCTCACTCGCTTCAGGTGAGGTGATAGCATATTTTGTCATAAGGTACAGTCGCACGACTGTCATGTTTCGGTGGGATGAAAGTTATTTCTTACCCTAAAGAGTACATACAGTTGTACACCCCCGACACCAGGCCGTATGTCGCCAGACTGTCCTCTTCTAAACCAGCCTCTCTGCAGAAGAAGTAGATTGTCAGTGACTGTGGTTTAAAGTTGCGAAGCTGCGTTTGCCTCTTCGCCTGTTTGTTTCTTTGAATTTTCGTTGGGACAACATAACAGGTGCAATGATACTGCTAGTAGTTGCTGTCCCAGCCAACATCAACAATAATGATAATCTGAAAACAATTACAGCATACAGTATTAAAATCATATCAACTGCAAATTCGAAAAAGACAAATATTACAGACGGACCTTGCCGATATCAGGAGTTCAGAGAAGGTTGGGACGAGTGCGGCGCCCAGGCTGACCCCGGATAACCCCAGCCCCACCAGCACCATCCACAGCGCGTCTCTGCAACAGCATGGGTTATGTGATGTAACGTTAGATATGCGTATAACTTTCCTTAACATGTTAGTGTTAGACCATTAGAACATTTGGGACACTGTTGTTGAATTGAATGAAAGGTACGTTATAATTGCAATAATTGTGACACTGGCGACAGCAACCATTGGAAAATAACTATATTTAGCTTCCTCTTATTCCTAGGGCTGCACATTAAACTTCATGGTCACTAGTAAATGTTGGAACAAGAAACACTATAGTGGATCGTCACGCCTGTTTTAGAGGGGAAAAACATTTTAGGGACTTACCCCGTCACAAAGATGCCTTCTAAAAGAGGAGACGGGCCAATTAACAAATAGGACGCTGCAGTGAACAGCAGTCCGAGGACCATGGTGAGCCGCGGAAATAGCTGGAACGGTCAAGTGTGGCAACATTTGTCTGTGAATCATCACAACGCTACAGTACAGTACAGTACAGTACAGTATTAGGAAGAAACAACAGTCAGTAGCACAGAAGGAGATGGACAAGCGAGTCTAGAGCACAGAAAATAGAACGAGTATTCGCATATTGCTAAGAAGAGCTTTTTGGTGGATACGTATTTTATTGGTGTTGGATCTACTATGCAAGTCTTTCATTTTGCTAAGGGTCCGGTCACAAACCATTCGTTATCATCAGTCTTGTCATCTGGCTTGAAAATCCTACAAAATCGTACGACAAATAAGACGGCGCCGTGACCAGTTACAGAACCTACCCCCCTGTCCGTCAGCCATCCCCACAGCGGCGCAGACAGGGTGTACAGACCCACGCTCAGCAGGAAGATCAGACCCACCTGCGCCTCCGTCATGTCAAACTGCGGGAAACAGTGTACAGAAAAACTTTCTTTTATCGCTCGACAATCGTACATGGTGAAATGTGTGGCAACATCTATTAAGCAGCAACACTACAAGTACCTGGTATCTCATATACTTCATGAATGCGAAGAGTTTGCGTTTTTCTGTAGCAAAACGGAACAGTAAATGGCAATGGGACCCCCTTACCTTCAGGTTTAAATAGGGTTGGAGTGTCGGCTCCAGAAATGCATAGACTGCCGCACATGTCACGATCGCCAAACCTGTAATGGACAGAGGGACCTTGTCAATCAATGGGTCTTTTCTTACTAGTTTAATTCAATCAATTCAAAACGTGAATATTGCGTCAGAGAAGGTTTCGATTAGATGCACCTACTTGATACGTATGTCGATGGAATTTTCAGCAGCGCCACTAGCGATGCAGTTTCCTCTGTGACGTCGTCGCGATCTGAAATTGAAAACACAAAAATGACGACTTTATGTACAGGAAATGACACAGGTTTTACTTTGAAATCGGAATATCGATAGAAATCAACTCATAGAAATTGGGCAACGATGTGAAGCTCGCAATAACTTATATAGTATAAGGTATACATGATCAACACTGTTTACCTAACTGTGTCGGTAATATAAACGGCATGAACACCGCACAGATCAACATGAAGCCACCAACGACCAAGAACGGCACTTTGTACCCACCAAGCTACAACAAATATAAGATGATTAATGTACATGTCAGACACTCATTGACATGCTAACTATGAACCTTCACATTCGGATTTTGGATTTCCCAAAACTAAAAAAAGACCACTTATTCTGAAGATTATGGTACACTGAACATATGCACAAGTAGTTGTAATATTCATGTATGAAGTTTTCGACTTGGACGCTATGAGCTGACTATATGTTTAAAGTTTATCTCGATTGCATATTTGTGACTGGACAAATATGGCCGGGTTCGTCTGTTCCATCACGAAGCTTGACTGGCATTATAGTACAGTTTCAGGAATACGAACCGAATATAGAGCTCCTCCAACAGGTGGGCCGATCATCATTCCTGCACCCGTAAATATCTCCAGAGTACCCTGGAATCAGACAGACAGAATCATATCTGTTGTAACGCTTTGTCTTCATAACCTGCATTTTAGTGTAAGCACATATGTAATTGTATCTATCTATCTATCTTTCTATCTCTATATGTGTAGCTTTACTATTTTCGATATTGGCCTAAGAAGAAGAGAAAGAAACCAAAGTAAAACAATATGTTTCTCCTCTGTGAAGGTAAACATAATAAAGATTAGAGAAGTGCTCACCAAGACCGTCGCCACGTTGTCAGGAAACTCCTTAGCCATGATGGCGAAGCTGGCCGTGTAGCAGGCGGACACGCCCACGGCCTCCATACCTCTGATGAGGAAACAGAACGCCAGGAAAACTGTCCCTTCCATGTAGTCCAGCATGCTGTGGAATTCATCAGATACAATCCTCAGGACATTCATTAACTTTGGATAATAAAAATATTGAAAGTAACTAAAAATATTGAAAGTAACTAACGACACAGAATAGCTTGGCTATCAAGGTAATGAACGGGAGATGTGCTTTAGGTGCACTAATTTCTTAACCGCAGTTTGATTCGACAATAGATTGCGCCGTGTGAAGATGTTAACCGATGATACATACCCGAAGAGAACCGAGCAGGCCCCTGACACGAACATCCCTGCTATTAACATGAACTTTGCCCCGATAAGGTTGATCTATGGAAGACGAAATTGATGTAAGCTTCTTGGTGTCATTTTATCAAAATGACAGGGACGAAAAAGAAGAACAAGAAACACAAGAGAAAACAACCCTAACACGCATGTTCCACTATAGGAAAGCGACCCATCAAATATTTGACGCACTAAATATTTCTTTATCTTAGCATGAAAGTTCATCATTAAACCTGAAGCAACATCTATGTCTGATTTTGTCCATTTCATACTCACGTATTTTCCGTAGATCGGACCTGTGATCATACAGAAGAAAGCGTAGGAACCGAACACGAGTCCCACAGCGGTGTCACTAACTCCTCTGCTCTGGGCCTGGGGAGAGCATGTTTGTTAAAGCATCTACAAATGCACAATGTTACCCCCACGAAACACTTTGTTTTATGGGTATTATTACAAAGTTCAACTGATGCCCAATGCCCAATGGTTATAGGTGTCCAATCTGCGGGTACAAAATCTCCCCCTCCCTTTTTGGACATCCTACTGTATTCGTGGTGCAAAAAAGAAAAACTCGTACTATTCATCAGTTGCTAATGACTAACATAAGTTACCTCTCCAGGAAAGAATGGAGCCGGGATGGCATAACACGTGCACGCGGCGAAGTTCATGGTCGCCAGAGCCACGAGTGTGAGTTTCCGACGGCGGCGCACTGGGTTCTGCGACGTTGGACCTTCAATATAGAGAGAAGAGAACTGAAACATTTTGTATACACCCTGTCTCTTCCTCTCCGGATCCCCCTATCTCTCTCCCTTTCATTAATTAATTCAACATCAGATCACACTCAGGTCCGTGTCCTTTCTCTCTCTCTCTCTCTCTCTCTCTCTCTCTCTCTCTCTGTCTCTCTCTCTCCCTCCCCTCTTATAATTTATTACAGTTACACCTACCGTTCGCTAGGTGTCTCTCCTCTTTCTCCGGCACCTGAATGTGGACAGACCCCGGATCCGGATCGGACAGACTGACACTGTCGTAGCGTGACACTGGTTCTTCATACGTTATCAGTCTGGCCTTCTCTGCCTCCGTGTTTGTACATGGTTCATCCATAACGACGGCGATGTTCCAAGTCAGTCAGTCCAGTCTAGTCGGTAGCTGCTAAGACGAGTTGAGCTCTGGGTGTCATAGAAAATCAATGTCATCATTCATAAGGGAATGAAAAGAACCTTAACCTTGGCTCGAACAAGCTGCATATTGAACAAGTTGGTTAAGCTACTCTACACAGCAACATGCCCATAGGTCACGTACATTCATCGTAGCCTGCTCAGAAACCACACGACTTCAAACTAGTACGGCGACCTACCGGCTGTAATCAGATGATAAGTTGGAGTAACGTGCTCACCTGCACTGTCACGAGAAAACCATTCCGACCATCATCCGTGTGTCAGGGTCTACCGGGGTAGATTGTCACCTAAAGTACTGTATGTTCATTGAGTGTGCAAGATATAGGGACATGTGAGCGATATGGCGGTGTGCTGATCAAAAGGGACTGGCGGTGTCACCCAGGGCAAAGTCCCGGTAGTCATGTGACGGTGTTTGTGTATATTTACNTTATGGGAGTCATTGGAACACAACTCAAGTTATTTTTGGATTTTTTTAGAAGTAGAGCTGTGTTCTATTGGGTCACCTGAGGTCATATGCGGGTGATTATTCATTTTGTTTAATGTATGGATTGGGATGAATAAATACCCGATTTTGACTCTATTTGTGACATTACGGCGTCATAAGGAATGTGGAATGGAGCCTTCTGATTGGTCAACCTCACCCGGCTATATGATAATCTGTAGTAACGCTTGGTCTTCATAAAACCGGCATTCTTGAGTGTAAGCACATTAATAATTCTATATCTATATACAGCTTTATTTTATTGGGTGAAGAACCTAAAAACAGAACGAAAGAAAAAGAGGAAGAAAACAGCATAAAACAGTGTGCTTCAGCGAAGTGCTCACCAACACCGTCGCCACGTTGTCCGGAAACTCCTTGGCCATGATGGCGAAGCTGGCCGTGTAGCAGGCGGACACGCCCACAGCCTCCATACCTCTGATGAGGAAACAGAACGCCAGGAAAACTGTCCCTTCCATGTAGTCCAGCATGCTGTGGGATTCATCAGGACACACAAACAATCCTCTGGATAAAGTTAGAATGTTTGACACAGTGCAGGATTACTTTCTAAGAGGAGTGAAAGAGTCCATATACACCAGAACACTTCATTCATCACTAAACCGAGACGGGGGTTGATACCAGATCCGGACGATCACAGGTCCAGACGTTTAATTATGCACAACTCCTTATGGCGGATGACCTGTGTCTTGAGTTCGTGCCGTCATTCTATTACTGTGAGTAAGTGACGACAAAGTAAAGGGCATCAAGCCAATGTGGGATGTGTTTACTAATTTCATACTCGGCCGGAGTCGATGATAGATTGCGCCATGTAACGATGTTAACCGATGATACATACCCGAACAGAACTGAGCAGCTCCCTGACACGAACATCCCTGCTATTAACATGAACTTTGCCCCGATAAGGTTGATCTGTGGAAGTCGAAATTGGTGTAAGCTTCTTGGTGTCATTTTATTAAAATAATGACAGGGACGAAAAAGAAGAACAAGAAACACAAGAGAAAACAACCTTAACACGTCCTTTCCATTATTTGACACACTGGCAACTGATTTTCTTTACGTGTTTTTTCTTTTGCATCGTGTATAAAATCAAAGATCACATAAATCCAATTTAGTCGCTCAGCAGTTGTCGCCGTCCAGTGGAACGGGGCCTAAAAGAAAACACAAAACAAGAAAGAATAGAGAAGAGCATTAAACCTGAAGCAACTATATCTGATTCCATTTCGTACTCACGTATTTTCCGTAGATCGGACCCGTAACCATACAGAAGAAAGCGTAGGTTCCGAACACGAGTCCTACAGCGGTGTCGCTAACTCCTCTGCTCTGGGCCTAAGGAGAGCATGTCTGTTAAAGCATCTACAAATGCACAATGTCACCCCACGAAATACTTTGTTGTAAGGGTATTATTATTACAAAGTTCAACTAATATGATAATAACGCCGCATGGTATTGGTCTCCAACATGACCAATCTGCGGGAACAAAATTCCCCTCCCTTCTAGATAGTCTATTCCATTCGTGGTACAAAAAGCAGAATGTACTATTCAGTTGCTAACATAAGTTACCTCTCCAGGAAAGAATGGAGCCGGGATGGCATAACACGTGCACGCGGCGAAGTTCATGGTCGCCAGAGCCACGAGTGTGAGTTTTCGGCGGCGGCGTACCGGATTCTGCGAGGTTGGACCTTCAACATAGAGTCAGAGAGAAGTGAACTGAAACATTTTGTATGTATTTTTACGTAATCTCTGTATCTCATTCTGTCTCTTTCTCTCCCCCTTTCTCTCACCCTTCATTGATTAATTCAACATCAGAATTCAGATCGCACTCAGGTCCGTGTCCTCTCCACCCTCTCTCCCCCCCCTCTTATAATTCATTACAGTTACACCTACCGTTCGCTAGGTGTCTCTCCTGTTTCTCCGGCACCTGAATGTGGACAGACTCCGGATCGGGATCGGACAGGCTAACACTGTCGTAGCGTGACACTGGTTCTTCATATGTTATCAGTCTGGCCTTTTCTGCCTCCGTGTTTGTACATGGTGGATCCATGCCGACGGCGCTGGTCCAAGTCAGTCAGTCTAGTCTAGTCGGTAGCTGCTAAGACGAGTTGAGCTCTGGGTGTCATAGAAAAGCAATGACATCATTCATAAGGGAACGAAAAGAACCTTAACCTTGGCCCAAACAAGCTGCATATTGGACAGGTTGGTTAAGCTACTCTACACAGCAGCATGCCCATAGGCCACGTACATTCATCGTAGCCTGCTCAGAAACCACATGACTTCAAACTAGTACGGCGACCTACCGGCTGTAATCAGATGATAAGTTGGACTAACGTGCTCACCTGCACTGTCACGAGAAAACCATTCCGACCATCATCCGTGTGTCATGGTCTACCGGGGTAGATTGTCACCTAAAGTACTGTATGTTCCTTGAGTGTGCAAGATATAGGGACATGTGAGCGATATGGCGGTGTGCTGATCAAAAGGGACTGGCGGTGTCACCCAGGGCAAAGTCCCGGTAGTCATGTGACGGTGTTTGTGTATATTTACATGTTACTGGTGTGTACTTAGTACTTATTAAGGAATGTAGGGGTGACCCGGTGTGATTGGTGAAAAAAACGAGACCACTACTGATTTTTAAAAAGCGGTCGCGACACTTTTTTTACTTTAATAATAATAAAATGTAACATTTTCATTATTTAAACTTTTTTTACTTACATCTCATAATTGTTTACTTACATGTCATTTTCTTTACTTACATGTAACCTTTTGAAAAATATAAATAAAACGTATAAGCAACACGTGAGGGGGGCCTGTCGAGTTATGCATAGATCTTTGCGATGTTTGGTGTATGGGTAAGACCCCAAAACAGATCCGAGAATGCAGAATACAATTTTATAAAAACAACACCTAAGGATGCAAGCTCAAGGCCATGTGGTGAAAGCCTGAATTATATTAAAAAAAAAGAGTGAACTAATGTAGGTATTTCCAAACACCTAGAATTCGTATTAAAAAGATGAAAGATAATGAACGTAAGTTCATATGTTGTACAAGATTGGGAGAAAATTCAGGAACTGTTCAATATCCTGATTCACGTTATTTTTATTGACTTAAGATTTGTATAACGGGCAGGGGAACTTTTCAAATGTACAAATGGAATGATCATATTATAAGGAAAAAGAATGGTTTGGTAAACCAGATCGTTTTTCAATATGCCACACAGATTGTTTTTAATTGTTCAGGGAGTAATACAGTCGCGCAAAAAGGAAATGTGGATATTTAATCCATTTCTTGATGCAACATACGTATAAAGATTGAACATTTTGTAGATAGTGAATAAAGTTCATGTGGACATGAGCCGCTAATGGCAAGTAAAATATGAAGGTTTCTTGATCTTTTTCGGTCCAGATGACGACATAAAAATTAGCGTTCCCTAAGACCATGGAGACCATCACGGATAAGGCGTCCAGACATCTTTGATGAAGGTATGCAGCGGTCTCAGCAGTCTGGCTACCATGCGGCCGCCAAATCCTGTCAGAGAAATGTACATGATGACGTAAATTTCTTTATGACATGTGAAACTCCGCTTATAATACTGATGTCAAAGACAGAATGGTATGAAAACATCTCGACGGTCAATGTGAGATTGCACGAATGGACTCATCCAGCAGTAACCGCCAACTCTCGTAATTCCTGCTTCAATCATTAACAAAAGAATCTTTCTGTACCTGCCAATGCCGCTGTTAGTGGTTCCCTGTAGGGCGTTCCATCAATTTTCTGTGGAAAGAAGGAAACACATTATGCTGATGATCCTGGATTCACAAATAGGTAAGGTCCTCTTTCCACTAGACAACGATCGCTGTGCAACCAAAATTAGATTTGTGTAACCCTGATTTTATAATTGAATATGACGCGCGATACAAAAGTGTGGTTTGAAAGACAAGAAAACACACAAAAACTTTGATCAATTCGTTCTCCATGTAGGGAATTCATTGGGCAATCTCTCAATTTTTTTTCAAATGGTCGTTGAAAAGTCGGTCGCAGGAAGGGCGTGTAACCAACTGAAAAACATGTAATACCTCAAACCGTTGACGATACCATTCTCTCTCCTGCTCCTGACAGGAAGCCATTATGGCTTTCTTCAGCCTGTCCCATTCATATGCATTACGGCGATCACCTGTAGAAGGGAACAGGAGGGCACGTTACCGGAAATAATCTATGTATCTTATCAAATATTAGCCACAAGTTTACTGAAGCCTAAATATCTTACCACAAGAAAACAACGCTTCCCTTCAACCATTTCTATCCCAACCGACAGGACAGAAAGAAGAGCTATGGGTTCGACAGAAAGAGGTGTCAATTGTTACATTTGTTTGTTTGAGCCTTTATTTATTCATGAAATACTTAAATCGGTCTTCTGACCGATTTTTATCGAGGCCATGAGGGAAGGGGTTAGAGTCAGAAAAAATATAACTTGGTGGCTTTATTCTGTGGTTATAGCAACTGACAAGGCTTTATCACACCATATTCACCTCGGGGCGGGTCATTAACCCTTAATTAAAGATTACATAGTAACAGATTGTAATGTTATTGATGTAGGGGATTGATTGCCGACCTAGTCCTTCGTTGTGCTCCAGACTCAGTTTGAAGTACGTCCTGGCTGTTTCCGGGTCGTTGTTCTCCTTGCTCAGCTTCCCGATGAAGTACAGACAGTCGGCGATGTCAGGATGGCTATAAAGTAGAAAATAGACCGTATGGCACGAAAACTCCACATATACGGTCAAAATTGCACAAGAATACCACTCAGGTATTGGTTTATTTAGACAGGGTTTTTAATAGTAGTAGTCAAGTCGTAATGCTGGCATGTTTAACGTTATGAAGTAACAAGATATCCACAACCATGTCTGTGGCAATGCAGAATGTACCTGTCATAGATGCTTTCCAAGACTTCCTGTGCTCTTTGCACACGACTGACTGCTTCTGCCAGGTCTCCTAAAGCCTCGTAACACCGGGCCATGTTGTACTGGAGAAGGCCGTAGTTGTGTTGCTTCTGCAATTATATTTTTAACGATGAACACGGTTTGGGAATGAGCAATGAACTCAAGGTTTTCCTTGGTATATACGGATGAAATACTAGTAGGCTGAGCGATCTTTCTTTGTCGCTTGATGGTCGCAGCGTCTAGCTGGGAAAAGGGTGCATAAAGCCAAAGCTGTGGTGATATTGTTCAAATGCATAACAGTTATTTGGACCTTACAATACCAACCTCCAGACGCATGGCCTTGACGAGTCTTTCTGCATCAAAGAATGTCTCCAGTGCTTTGTTGAAGGCCTGATCGGCTTCTGTGGCCTGCCGAGCTCTTTTGTAGTGCCAGCCCATGTCCAAGTTAACCACGCCGATGTTCATGAGATACGTAGCGCAGTCAAAGTGGTTATCTTGTCCTGGAAGAGGAAAATGTTGGTGTTGAAACCGTGATCCCGACTGTTGAAACCTTCCGAGCCTCGCAGGAGACCTGCCTTACCTGTAACGGTAACCTCCCCTCTCCCTCTATGCTCCAGATGGGGAGATTTGGGGGTAAACAAGGAGACGAAACCTACAACGGTTCATTAGGCCAAGGTGCTCGTAATGTTGGAATGTGGCATTATAGAATGTAGTTCATCGAAGCTAATGTATACTCCTATGTTGATTGAAAGATACCATTTCTATTTAATATGAACAAAAAATATTGTATTTTAATACAAAATGCAAAGAAATTGAAATTCCTTTGCATTTTGTGTTGTTTTATTTTATTTTCATTAGCGATATAGAATAAGGCCAACTTGGGTAGGGCGGATCTTCATGAATGTGTTGATATGTAATGAGAGATAATATTGAAAACCTTACCGACAACGCCGATGATGATCGTCGTGTGCCTTTTTGTGCATTGCTAGACTTTCCTGAAGCAAACCGAGGTACTCTTGCCCCCTCTTGGTCTTGGCGTGGTTGTGGTGAGCGAATCCTAGCGAATTCACCACCCGAGCATACAGAACGTGATTTCCCGCCATCTTCGCCTGAAACAGAGATGGCAGGCTTCACCCATCCTTTTAGCTCCACAGACAAACACAACGCATCACCAATAATGTATGGCAATGCTACATAATATACATTGAACATCACAAACGGACGGTCCAAAATTTGCGTTTCGCCTTTCAGTCACACTTCCATACCTTAGACAGGATGTCTCGTGCCTGGTCAAGATGACGGACATTGTGTTTGTAGTCGTCGCGATGACTGAAGTAAATACCTGCACAGGGATGAAAACAACATCCAGTTTCTAGGTGTACCATATCGAGACGAGTCATAACTACCCCCACCCCTACCCCAACGAGTCATAACCAAATTTAGCACACTGAAGTAGCCATTTGGCTGCCTTAGATACATGTAAGGTTTGGTATGTTAAGTTGAACACAGTATGGAAGTTGAACACAGCTAATAGTAGACTAGCCCCCTGCTAACGTAATATGATTTTGTGCGTGCACAGCTGTGTGGCCCAAGCGCTGAGAAGCGTGGATGGGCTCCACCCTACGCATCATTTGGTGGGATGGACATACTGTGATTTTAACATATTACCACCAGCAAGTATGTGTGTTGAGTCTTTTTGTTGGACTCTTCGGTATCCACAGGTTATACACATACTAAAAATTACCTGACACATAGTGGTATCTTGCAAAGCTCAGTTGAACCGATTCTTCTTTCCTGTCTGGCCTGGCCTCCAGGGCCTTCCTTGCCTCCTCCAGTCGATCCCAGGCATCCTTCTGCATATTCTCTTGGAGATGCGTCTCTGCCAACCAACACAGCATCTCAGCATAGATCTGTGTGTTCTGATAGATGTGCGTTTTGTTACCGTAATGCACTATTAAATCGTGTATATAATAGATTGCGTCCTGTTGAATATTCAACTTTAGTCTTCGTTGAATGTCCCTTGTTTGCATCTAGAAAATTGTTAAACACGAAAAAGATTATGACCTTCATCTCAATCTCCGGTTACAAAATTACCCCTCACTTACGTACTGCGAGTGCTGTATTCAAGTAACGGGCACACAAACACACAGACAAACAAAACCTCCATCACGGAAGTAAAGATAGAAGAAGCAGTGGTACTTATTACCTGTTTCTTCAATCGTTTTGCTGGGCCAGTGTAGAAAGAAATCCTTTCCTTCACCACCATCATTTGCTCGAGTAAGATGTGGACTGCGCTTCTATCACCAACCTCCTCCGCTTTGGTGTCCATCAACCAAGTATGCTGTTCGTCTCTTTCTTTGCGCCTCCAACATTAAACACAACTAAATTTTAAAACATTGTACCACACATCTTTCCAGACAAAACACATAAAATTGAACGAATCGGTGCAATAGCTGCAAGCCAAGTGTTTGCTACGCTGAAACGTTTGACAGTATTTAAAGAGTGCACATGGCGAGTGAAATCAAAGGATTTGTATTTCCAAAGATGTAGGAGAAATATTTAAGCTTTCCCTGGTTTTCAGAACCGTTCTATACAACTTAGTGCTTTTAAAATCGGAATGTGAAAAACACTGCTAGCTATTCCTATATTATCGTATCAGTCTTCGGTTACAATATTTCCTTTACCTCCTCTGACTTAACTGCTTTCAAATAAATGCGGACATATAAACAACTTGACAAAGATACGTACAACACCTTACCAGTCATAGTCCTCCTGTGTCTCTTGTTGTATCAGTGCAAGGAAGTGGTTAAAGTTGTCGACATCGTTATTGTACTTGTAGACGGCCTGGTGTATGTTCCTCTGCATGTCCTGTGCAACTGTAGTCAGTCTTTCTTCGTACAGCTTCAGTAAAATAAAATAAAAAAACAAAACAAACCCAAAGTTCAAATTGAAAACATAAACAAGAAGCCATAGGTGACAATCCTCCGTGAAGTTTTATATATTTCAACAAAATCCCAAGCGTCAATGCCAGACCTACTGTGCAGACAATATAATTAGGCAACGGTTAATGAATGAATGAATGAATGAATGAATGAATGAAGACCTTTATTGTACATTTTTGCCCCACTGGGCTAAGCACAGGTCACATTATACATATTCGAATACATATTCATATAAATATACATATAACTATTACATGTACATGTATATATAAATGTCTAATGCATTCTAGTCTTTTCAACTTCTCGCTTCTTAGTAATTGTATAAATGTAAGATGCTGTATGGGTAGTTATATTTGGTTTATCAAAGGTTAACAGGAATGTAAATTTTTCTTTACTTGTTAAGAATCCGAAGTGTGGAAATTTACTTAGAACATGTCCGAAGAGTATGCGAGGGCGCGTCACAAGCATAAAACATACAAAGAGCTAAATCCATTACTGCTCCCAGGGCGTGTAAAGATACTGTGCTTCAAGTTCGAAGTTCATTTTAATTACACACACACAATCATTGCATTCACATAAAGATCGGACTATCATGGTCGTGTCTAGTAACAAAGACAGCCCCATCGTCTCACCGTGCCTGTACCTAATTAAGCGCGCCTGGAACAGGCCAAATTCCAGCAACAGTTGCGGTAAGCACCGCGAGTGTTACTACCGCCGGCCAGATAACCAGGATATCTGCTTACAGTACGTCTGCTACCAGACAACTGCCTAAACCTACGGCCTATTCCACAGGATTGTAAAAGTAGGGATGTTTCTAAAATATGCATTTACTTCAATATCAAAACAGCTACGGTTAAATTAAAAAGACGTGCATCATCCCGGACATAATGCCACACCACATGCGAAATTACACAGAAATGCGACGTACGGAAGAATGCGTTTTGGCTGCGAACATCTTCCAAAAAACTTGGCATCTCTTAAGCATGGGCAAAAACATCTGGAACCACTTATCAAAACCACCCCGTATCTGCATGAAGTTCAACCCCCCACTGCTATTCCAAACAACGCGTTTTTCTGGACCATTCCAATTCGCCTCGTAATTGTAGGGGTGCGTCTGCAATATTACATTGACCGCGAAAGCAGCAACGGCAAAAATACACATTCGTGCATCAACACGGGCATGCCCGCAGACGGCGTATAAAATTGCGTGCCGATTACACAAAGAGAACCCAGTGTTTTGACTGCGAACATGAAAAATCAGCCGATCGCGATCACAACACTCCGTCCGGAGGTCCTGACCTCCTTCACGGAGTAATTATATAGCCAAGATGCCAAGCAGACAAAAACGCACATTTCAGATATGTTTATCATATGATTAGGTGTTTTAAGACATTTTACAGAAATTTTGGATAACACCGCTTCATTTTATGTGGTGGTATTTGAAATAGGATTCCCATTGAAATTATGACAGTGAACATTACGACCTCACCATGTACCTTCATGAATCTGTACTTAGCTGCAGCCATGTCCTCCGGAGTAACAGCGTGGGTGGCCACGGTACCGGTGGACATAAACGTCCGCACCTCATCATGTGTGTCATATCGGACAGCTCCATCTATGCTGTGGCTGGAAGACACGAAAGTAAACACTTCACTATGGCGACATTATTATTTGTCTTTATTCTTGAATATTCGCTGCAGCTCGCGTAGTGCGACTTTTTTTAGTTGAGCAGTATATCTCGCCTGGACTGTAGCGTGGTGAGTTGATCATGCTCAGTGGCGATGATTTTGCAACCGAATTTTCTTCGATTTTTTTCCAGATCATATGATACGCTTACAGTTGGGCTATGCAAGGGTTTATGAGAGATATGGTCTTCCTGTATCAAACAGGACAAGACAGATGTCTACAGCCGCCATGCATCCAGTTCCTGACGCCCGCGGATGTTAGCTTGATTGTAGCAAACGTGAAGTACAGTCAAACCTTTAAAACCTCTACGAAAGGACTACCTGGTCAATATGAACTTTTCGGTGATCCCTTATGGGATTTTATCAAGTCCACCAGAGTTTTCTTGTCCCCTGAATGGTTTTCTCTGGCCATTTTCACCCACTTACCTTTCCGCTTTGATAAGTCTGCGGGCCCTCAGCTCCCTGAGATGGTCCCACACCCGGGACTGCCGGTCAGGCTGCCCGATGATAGTACAGGCAGATTTCACGGTGAACGGTCCGGCAAACACGGACACCAGCTTCAGCGTGGCCAGCATATCCTTTCCCAAAGAACTGACTACGGCGGTCAGCAAATCGCTGATGTTGTTGATATCCTGTAAAACACAACGGAAATATATTCCCAAAACGTTACGGGGAAATGTCAAGAACAATCGTCGTTACGTTTAGTCCCTTAAAATATTGAAATGTGGCCAAATATATACCTTGATGAGACTCTCCGATGGTCGCAGATGCTCCTTCCGTATCATCCCACATGCTATTGTGATGGCGAGGGGCCAACCTTTACACCTGTGTGGCAAAACGATGTTGATGCAAGAGATGCAATAAGTATTTGTAGAGCAAATGTCCATAAGCTCAACAATAACCAGTAAAAAATCATTAATTGCTTTTCAGACCTTATACCAGACTAATGACAGCTGAAATACAACAGAATCTATATACAAAATCTTTGCCTTTGTACCCACAGTTTTGCCTTAAGCCCAAATTACGCCAAAAAGTAGTTACTCAAGCAACTGGATATGGTTTTGAAAACGTCATCAAACGTCATCAAACGGTTTTGACGTTTTCAAAACCATATCCAGTTGCTTGAGTAACTACTTTTTGGCGTATCGTATTACCTGGATGTCTAACCTTCATCGACGTAAGCCCAAATTACTTCCTGAATACTCTCCAAGCAGAGGTAGGGTCGCTCGGTATTTTGGCAGTATTTTCGCGTTTTTAATACGTCTTTCTACTTTTACGGGTTTTTTTTTGGTCTTCCTCCCCTTACCTCTGCCGGCAAACGCACCAGGGCGGGGCAATCTATAGAAATAAACGTGTCCCTGCCCCTCCCTGGGGAGGAAGACAAAAAAAACCGTAAAAGTAGAAAGACGTATTAAAAACGCGAAAATACTGCCAAAATACCGAGCGACCCTACCTCTGCTTGGAGAGTACTTCCTGAATACATGCCCACCTTTTGTAGACTTCACGGGCCTCGTCCCGCGTGATATTACCCTTTCCCACAAGTCCCTGTACCAGATCGGTTCCCGTGGATTCTTCTAGCATCTTCAGGTTGACAGAGGTCGATTTTATCGCTGGGACGTCACCCTGGCCTGGCCCACTCATAATGGATGATCGCGACGTAACGATGACATGAACCTACACATGATCAGATATCCATTTTGTTAGCACTGAATACGGAGGTTCTGTTTTCGGTGTGTTTATCTCTTTGTTTGCCTGTGTATCTGCATTTAGTTGACGTCATTTTACGTTTTCTATGAAAAGGCCCAGACAGTCGATGATATACATGTAACAAGCAGCAGGAAAAATTTATGGAAGTGTAGGATATACTGTTATAGCAGTTTGTCCACTTGTACCTTGGGATTTTGGTTCGCCTGAACCTTTGCCAGAAAACCGGCGAATTTACGAGACTCCGGCTTCTTCAACAGGCTGTCGGCATTATCCAGGAGGAGCGAGCAGTCTGTAGATGTGACATGGCCAAGAGTAAACATGCCATTACAACAATTTGAAATTCTTACCCATGTAGATATGTACATTGGCATGATGAATCTTTCAAAAGCCGGAATGTACGTTACATGACCCACTCAAGAAACGAGGCAAGAGATGAGCCCCATCTGTCAGTAATGTATGAAAAATATTATTTCTTGGTTTATTACAAGTTTAAGGTAGATCACACGTCTGTAAAGTCTGGAATATGCAGTTTTCAAATTACCCTCGCCGTCGTAGGTTCCTATGAGATGCGCCACCGTTGCTTCCACGTCGGTGTTGCCGTCGCCATCAATATTATCCGTGACTCCAAATTCTCGCATAATCAAACGAAGCATGTTGTCTACTCTCGTTACCTAGGCAACATACAACACAAAAACTTGTTACCTAGGCAACATACAATATAAGCCTTACGGTGCGATTGATGGTACGCATTTTTGTTCAAGGCACCGACCAAACATTAAATAGTGGTTGCGATTCGCTTTGGTTCGTCAATGAGAAACGTACCAATTTTTATTTGCAAATTATGAAAATAAGCTTTACCTTGGATAAGCTGATAAAAATCTCCCTTCTACTTTGCTCTAGGCAGAGTTGTTGAGCAAATGTAGACTTCCCAACACCAGGACACCCGGTGATATCAATGATCTATAACACAAGAAGGCAGTGTCATTTTTGATGTACAAAAATATATTGCACATTCATATATAGAATGCTACAAAACGTTTTGATTGAATCCTCACAATATGTCGTCATTCCACACTAATAATGCCGCAACAATGACTCCAATGGCTTGTTTAAACCATGAATATATAAATTACACTATAAGTTTACTAAAATATGCCCTACTTTCACGTGTGTCTTGTCCCCATCAGTGTCGATTCCCAAGTTCTTCATCTCCTTTTCCCGACCGACGAAGTCAACGTTTACTCTGGCGTTCTCGATATCCATCTGCAGCAAGAACAAAGAAAAGATGATTGTATGGCAGAACCAGTGTGACCACATGACAAACATGGCGAAAATGCTTGACTTTGTAGCATCTTTAAAATGGCACATAATCCCCTCTAAAAGTTTGCGAAGAAGGTAATTAATAAGAGATATTCAACTTTCACATGGGTAGTGAAAGATAAATTTCGTGGAAACCATTTTGATGACTTTATAGTCTGGTATTCGTCAGCTAGCTATCTGCTGTTGAGTCACCATGCTTCGACGTATTTTACACAGAAAAACATTTGGCGACATGGTTGTGGTACATTAGTGCTAGCAGATCTTGGCGTCATCAGTCTATCTGTTGATAAAGTAAGAACTTACCTCAAAATAGCGTCTGTCGAAATTTTCTAGACCATCCAATAGCTCCAGTGTATTGGTGAGTTTCTCGTCGTCATCAGACCCAAGGTGGTTATCTAGGGCCACAGTAAACATTGAAAATGAATCGCTATTAATCTATGATTTCTTCCACAACTTAACTAAAAGTAACGACTAACGTATAGGCCAATGTTCCGGTAACCCTTCCTCAATTCAATAATGACCTGCTCCTCGCCACGGCGCTGTGGGGAGAATGTGGTACCAAACGTGACTGACGAATTCCCCTCGCCACCGTCCATAAATGAAGTTTTTTTTTTACTTTCAGCTGAATGTGTTAAAAGAACTGTAATATACAGTTATAAAACAATATGCGAAACAGTTATTTTACAGAAGCAAGTTAAGTAAAGTACCTATCAACGTTTCGGTACTCCTTCTGCTCTTTTCTCAAGAGAAGTACTGATTTGATCCGGAGCTACTTCCAAAACTTTCACATGTACGAAACACTATCTATCATTCTGAAACTAATGCCTTGCCTGCTTCCAATTTCTTGAAGATGTCCGGCAGATTCGTGAGTTTCTCGTACGGAGCCATTGTATCTTCAGTCTGGTCGATGCGAATCTGGTCTTTCATGATCTGGAGATGGGGACCAATCGATATACTTTATGTTAATGCAACAATTTATTTCATCATCAACATCATCATGTCGGTCGGCTTGCTCGGACCGAGGCAACTCTCTCAAATTTATTTCAACTTCAGCACAAAGCTGTGAAATCTTTAGTAAATGCACTACCAAAAAGATCAAATAATTAGAGCTCTTAGAGGGAATAAGATTGATGTGGAACGAAAGGATCAAAAAGAGATGTCACATAGAGAGGTTATCTCAGGAGTTATCTTGATAGATAAAATATGTGACGTACAATTATAACGTCAAGAACAACGAGGGTATCGTTACGAACCTGAACATCTTTGTCTGTTAGTTCTTGAGATATCTTGAAGATCAGCCTGTGGAGAGGTGAGGTGGCTGTCAGGGGTGTATGTTCACGCACAGAGGAGTGGGCATCTGGCTTCTGAGAGCCCGTAGCTTTCTCTGTAAGAGAGAAGTAAGCACATACAGTTGAACAATGTTTCACCATTATATGTTCAGTTCTTCAATATGTCATAGCAACTTGGAATGTGTTGAAACAGTATCTCATCTGAGACTACATAATATACGCACCTCTGAGTTGCAGATAACCTTTCCACTGCCTGTACTGCTCCTCCAGCATGATGACTCTTATCATCACGTCCTGACCAGCAACAGCTCGCATCTCCTCCGTAATGAGGTACCTTGAAAAGTCACTACTCAGTCTCCCAGACTTGTAGTCAGCCCAAAACCTTTCCAAGCTTTCCTCATTCTTCGGAACCAAGTGGATAATTGCGCAGCCGCTTTTAACCTTCAAAATGTTAATCCCTGCGCCTTTGGCTTTGTCTATTTCCAATAGCACCTGTTGTACCTGTCTTTTAATCTCTTCTTTGGACAGAAGATCTCCTGCTTTTTTCAGTAGGTCGATTTTTACCGTCCCCCACGCGTGAAGCCGCTGCAAATCGGTCAGCTCACGAGTCTTTTCCTCCTTTAGTTTCTTCTCTATCACTTCTTCATCGCCATCCCAGATGTCGTACCGGCGCTTTCTGCCGATGCCTATTTCTTCATCTGAAGAACCTGAATGACTTGATGGTGTTCCAGTTGGTTGTAGATACGCAAGGGCTTGTATAGCTGCGAGGGACCGTGCATAGAAGATCATGCCATATTACTTAGAATTTAGATATTCAACATTGCAAAACGCCAGGCAGGGAAATATTTTCCTTTGTGTGTAATTTCCTACGCATACGTGATAAGAAGTCAAACTATCCCTCAAGTAATATATATATCCATCAGGTATATGCAGAAATCATGATCAAACATTGGTAGATAATGCAAGAGAATTACCTGGAGGAGGAAGACACTTTCTAATTTGAGAAGCAAGATTCGTCAGCTCATCCGCGACACTGTTTCTTTGTACTCGAATGGCTTTCCGCTGCTTCAGTGTGGGGGAATACTTCCCGACTAACTCACTGAACGCCTTAAAGTCGTCCTGGTTGTCGTCAACCCATATAGGTAATATACGCTTGTTGTTTTCCAGACAGGTTTCAAATTCCAATTTTGGCCAGTAGTCTTTCTTTAAAAATGACGTGCTGACAACAATGACGGCAAGTTCCAGAGCGTCACTCTTTAGGGTCGACACTATTCTGTCCCGAATGCCTTCACCAGGTTTGATCGAATGTTCATCGAAAAATATGTCGTGTTTGTCCAAGCCCTGTTCATGGAGAGCGCTGACCAGTGGACGGGCAATTGACTCTTTGTCTTCTCCTGCGTGGATTATGAAAACCCTTGGTTCTGCTGGTTCTGCAATAAAACGAATGAAAGTACAACACTATACATATCGAAATCTGCTCTTGATATCTGCTATTCTAGTAACAAATATTGCCAGTTGTACATGTGCTGGTATTGTAACTAAGTGCTGGTGTGAAAAAAATATACGTGTTATTCATACGCATACAGAGTAATACAAATAAACATGTCAAGTTACTGAAATGACCACTGTTAAACTGATATTCCCACATTATAATCCTTATAAGGTAAAAAATATTGGCAAAACTCTTTGCAAATTTTACAGCTCTTGTTCAGTCATGAAAATCAAAGAATACTGTTTTCACGACAAACCATCTCCCTTACTATGATCTGTAAAGTCAGTGCAGTTCACATTACCAGGAAACACAATGCCTCCCGCGCCAGAAAAATACAGCGATGACGAATACCTGACTCCGCTTGTTCAGGTTTACGCTCTGCTCCACGCTGCCCGATATCTTGTTGCACCGTGTCGGTACCGCTATCCATCTGTTTAAATATAAATGTGCATTGTCGGCACGGTCCACATTTGTCCACCGTTTAGCGGTGAGTGCTTAACGTGTTTGATATCATGGCTCACCTCAGATACGTATGTCGTATCCGGGATCGCCGTAACTACAATACTACATTGCCACCTGTTTGTTTTGTACACCTGTGGAGGGTTAAGGGACGAATCAGGGAACCATCGTACTAGTATGCGCTTCAACTGTCTCAGATCAGGGGTAACATATTTACCGCAAATCCAAGGGAACACCAGATCTATGGGGATATATGTGTGGTTGAGAAAATGTGAGAACGTCAACGTACACAGGGTGTAGCGTAATAATTACTCTGCCCGCCATAACGTAACACCCCTCGGCGGCCTTTCAAACGGTTTATGCCACATACCGGAAAACAAAGACGGCCATCGGCTTTTTGTAGCAGAAAGTGCAATACACACGTTAACCACAAGTTCACATATCAAACGGGGTACAAACATAATTTCATGTTATATGTAACAAACAACTTCATATATTATTCTGAGCTGTATCCTTTGTTCGTTTATCGCTGTTGTTATTTCTGGCTCTGTTCCAAGTTTCAGTGTACAAACCGTTCCAGCCCCTTGGTGCAAACTGAAGAGACATCATATGTTGTTCAATGAATTTTTTTACGTTTCTATTCTCTTTCGAGCTCAACGTCTGCATTTATAGCTGTAGATCATTTTGAAGTTTGCTGTAAAACACGGTATTCGGGTTTTGTCTCTGTGTGGGTAGGCTTTCTGGTCATGCATTAGTGCAAATTTACTAGTTCAATCGACGAGCAAAATCTACAACACGTAGCACTGTGGAGTGTTGAAAATCAGTCACATGTCCTTTCAGATCTATGTACAACAGAAAGGTAAAACAGAAAGGTAACACTGAACCTCCCGAAAAGTGGACGTGAGCCCGTTGAACTGCCACTTACCTTGTCACACCTGCTTTCTATGGTGACTGTCTAAACAGTTGCCAGTGGCAGGTGAATGGGGATAATCACGTGAAAACACAGGTTAGCGGTGTAAAATATGAAACGTCTGAATGGCACACAACTTGCCATCCTATGTGAGGGGAGTCTAAACCTTCTGCAACCTGTACGTTTTAACCCAGGGCCCTCCAAGGTCAGGTATAAGTTACAGACTAGAGGACGACGGGAATGTTTATATGGCGGTTTCAGTCTACAAGGTCAACCTTTTTGGCGACGCCTCGTGTATGGGGCCCTGAGATGTAGTAATATGGCTGTGTGGGCAGTGTTCAGAAAGCCTCCAATACCGTGGCCGACAAGAACAAAATTTTACACCGCAACTTTTGGTGTTTTACATCGCAACTTTTGGTGTTTTACTCTGCAACTTTGGGTGTTTTACACTGCAACTTTGGGTGTTTTACACTGCAACTTTGGGTGTTTTACACTGCAACTTTTGCTGTGTTTTACACTGCAACTTTTGCTGTGTTTTACACTGCAACTTTTGGTGTTTTACACTGCGACTTTTGGTGTTTTACACTGCAACTTTTGCTGTGTTTTATACTGCAACTTTTGCTGTGTGGAAAACTTACACCCCTCCCCTTTTATAATAGACGGTCCCCCTGTCAGGTCAAAGGTGACAAAGATGGCGGCGGCCTGAGAGTCACAGTGTCGTGCTGTGACTGAGTGTGAGACATCAACAGAATGGGATCTTAAGAAATTGATCAAGCTGTGAATAAATTGATGATTTATAATTCTGTCTGTTCTTCTTTGTGTTCTAACTTTACTATACTTACACAACACTGTATTGCCTCCATG